TTAGCCAGCTTCAGTAATTAATATACAAATAGTTAAACCATTTAATCAACAAATAACAGCAGTCAGCATCAGACAACCTTATCATACTTCAGCAGTTACCTAGTGTTTCTGTAGTGGTGACCAAAAATATTAAAAATATACATATTAGCTCTTTCAATGCAAGTAAAAAGCTCACTATTCCATTTAAGAAATATTGCAAATATTGAAATATTGTGGAAATGACAGGTGGATTGTTTCAATAATTAATTAGGGTTAAAATCATGTAGTGTGAACTCTGCATTACGTGTTATCAAAATGGTGCTGCTCTAGAGGCAGATAACACAAATCTGTTAGTTCATTTGAACTGAAACATTCAGTCTTTCTCATCCTGGGATCAATAGAGTCTGTGGTTAAATGAGACCAGCAATTGCTTTGTGTTTTCCAGGCTGAGATGGAACGGAAGTCTGAGTCCAACCAGCAGAACTACTGGATGATCCAGTACCAGAGACTGTTGGATGCCAAGCCACTGTCACTGCGCATGCAGGTACAGTACAAAGCAAAGGACACACAGAAACAACTGGAAACCAAAGTGTGCTGTTCCTAAACTGTCATTTTATTGCAGGAAGCGGGCGTGGAGAAAGAGTTGGTCAACCTGCTGTGCAAACTGTCAGCTCAGCACTACCTGCCCATCCTGGCTCATCATCGAGTGACCACTGAGGCCCTTCGCCACATGAACTCCTCTGACCTCAAGAAGGTCTGTCTGCAACACTTACTCATCAGTTGCCACTGACATTGGAGATCTTTGACTACATGCAGTAACTCTCCGTTTCAACACCAGCTGTCTTATTTGTCAACACAAGGTCACCACTCGCCTGTGCAGAAGTGGTGTTTGCTTGAGCTGATGTACCAGCACCTGTACAGAACCCATTAACATGCAGACTGGAGAACTGCCTACCGTCCACTAAGCTTGGGGCAATATGAACATTTCTTGTCACGATTATCCTGATAAAAATAATTTTACAATGTTGTACCAATAATCACCAAAATATAATAAAACTCTTAAAATGAGCCTAAAACATACTGGAATCACTTTACCTTACATTTAGTTAATAACTGTAAGGTAATGTAGGTGTGTATTGGCAGGACTGGCAATAACGTGTCACAATACAGGGGTTACAATTCTGTATAATGCCATGCAATAGGCGATAGGTTGCAATTTTAAATAAAATCTAATTTTAGGAAAACTGTGTTTACAGCTGGTTGTGCTGCCCTCAAGTGGCCAAAAATGTAATTCAGTTGTAACTATTAATGAATGTGCAGAATAATCAGCATTGTTCATTTCTCTTTTTTTAGCTTGGCATTAATGAAATAGGAATCCAGAAAGCTCTTCTGAAGTGGGCTCAGGAACACCCTGCTGAAGGTACATTACACACCTACGTTTCTATACATTATACAGTTATACATACTGTAAGTACATACTGCTACAGATAGCTTCTTTTGCAATCTGCTCTCTGAGTTTTTGAAGCAAAGACATGGTCTGTGCCCACACTGGTCACAATAACGTGATATGTAGTCTCTACAATCATGCAAGCTCATGCTGTTCAAATTTTGCTGACATTGTCAGAAAAGTGCTTTTAGTAAAGTCTCAAAGAAACTCAAGGAATGTTGTCAAATTATACAAATGGATTAATGTTAAGATAGCAAAAACTTACATTTCCACCTTTTTCAAGGATGGAGGATGATGTTTAGGGTATTGAAACTCAGGAAGTCAATGAAAACCTGTTTGCTGTCCACTGATTATTTTCTCCTGTACTAGGAGCTTGTAAGGCTGTCCTGCAGGACGAGGAGGCAGAGCTAACTCCCTCAGCTCCACCCCCTGCCTCCCCTCCATTACTTCCCAACATTTCCCAGATCCCCAGCCCACCACTCACCCCGGGGACCCCCGTCACACCTTCAGCCCCCAGCCCTGTGGAGGGACCAGGGAGCTCCGAGTGTGTGGTCTGCATGGAGAGCGGGGTAAGAAAAAAAACTCAGCAAAAACCAGAAAGTAACCCCTTCAGTCTCAATAATCAGTACTACTCTTGTTATTGTTATTTCCTATCAGCATTGTTTAAAGGTCAAAAGATGCTAAAACTAGGATGAGGCATACCATGTCTAGAACATGAATACAGTTCATGAACTTTTCACCAGTAGTGAGATATCACTGGAGCACAACAGAACTAACTACAGTCCACTTGTTGGTGTCCCTCAAGGTTCTGTCCTGGGTCCTATTTTGTTTGTAAGCTATATATGAATAAACTTTATTTACTTTCAGCAGCACGGGCATCAGTCGGCCAAACTGCCTTCACCAGTCCTAAACTGATCTGTTCAGTGGAAAAAGTAGAAATCCACTGAAAGAATACAGGGGTTGTATTATGTATATATTGATATAGATTAATTGTTGTAGATATAGTCCAGAAGTTGCAACCTGCAGAAAGTAGATTAAACAATGTGTTTAATTCAGAACTCTATTAAGACTTTTTAACAACAACTTCTAACATCTTCTTGATGTAGTCTGTTGAGGTATGATATGGTGACATCTGGTACATCACATCTATTTTCTGTGTGACACATACATGGACCATATGTACATATGTAGCAACAACAATCACAGTTTTCAGATAATTTAGCTAATGTTAGCAAAAATGCTACCTTAGCTAATACTGAGAAGGAATTTTAAACATTTTTCTGGAGCTGATAATTAGTTACTGAGCAGTTAAGTTAAGCAGTAACTCCAAAAAGAAACAAACCTCGAAATCTTTGTAGTAACAAAGTGAAAATATTAAACCTTAGCACACATGCACACACTCCTCCAGCTGACTCATGTCTTATCTTTCTCGTCTCTCCAGTCTCAGGTCATCTTCCTGCCCTGTGGTCATGTATGCTGCTGTCAGGTCTGCAGCGACGCTCTGCAGAACTGCCCTCTTTGTCGTAACAACATATCCCAGCGCATACGCCTGTACCACAGCTAGAAGCAAGTACAGCGCTGTTCCTCCACAGACTGCAGCTCTCTTTATTTATGCATGATCATAAAGCTGCTGTGAGCTAACTCTCGTCATGTATAGAGAAGCTTTTAGCGGGTTTTCAAAGAGCTGAGCCACTTTCCTGTATTAACCAAACAGTACTTTGTGATGTATATGCAGAAATAAGTTTGAATAGAACTATTTTTAATGGTGTTTTAGTTGTGTTTTTGGTTGTCACCGGCATCCAAGCCTGTGTATTTTGTTGTTCTTTCTAAATTCTATCATTTTTTAAATATGAATTAAGATCCAGGTGGATGACACTGCTCACTGGTTGAAGACTGACTGTTCTTTGCCTTATTATACCTTCTCAATTGATGTGTGCCTTTTTCTGGAAATCTCTCTTTTCATTTAACAATACTTGTGTGTTGTAACCAAAGTAACACCTGTCCAGTTCACTAAAACAATCTATGGATTGTTGTTGCTATTGTTGCTCATTGTATGACTAATGCACCTCATGTTGTTCTGCAATCAATTACACAACTTGTCTTGCCCTCGCTGTGGGGGCCGTTTTTCAACCTTACTTTATTCTCCATTCCTCTTGTCTCTGACATATCTTTCCCATTCTTATTTCAATCACAATATATGGTGCACATGTACGAACTAACATCACCTGTTTGTAGCCACAACTAATGCTATTATACTCTTTCAAGTGCTCTTAACTCTAACATCTCAGCATGTTTCAGGTAAATATTATTGTATATGAGTCGGTTAAATGTAGTATGTAAGAGATTCCATGTCTATATAAATCAGACATTTCATGTCAACAGACTGTGATATAAAATACTGTGTATGTGTGTCAATGTAAAGTCATTGTGTTGCTGAAGAAAGGCACTGCTACACGAGCAGCCAGATCTGGAAATGTACTGAAAAACAGTATACAATTAGAAAGATGTTGTTGAGTCTGTATTATATATAAAAATATCTGATATATTTGGACACCTGCTGTCATTTTACGTCTTAAGTGGCATTTTGGCTAACTTCCTGTCCACACCACCACACTGAAATTCAGCTGCCTGCCTTTAAGGACCGCCTCTTTGTGGAGTTCTCTTTCCTGATTGGATAAAGTGGAAACAGGATACCAAGAAATGTATTCTGTGTTTACTTCAGAAAGGAGGGACTGAGAGACCCATGTTACTGACTTGTTTAGAACTGACACTGTACAAATTAAAGTGAATTTGATTGAACACTATCGGTGATGGCTGTCAGAATGTAGAGCTAGTTAACACTTATTTTACCATGGTGCGTTTTCCTCTTATACAATATATCACTTAGAGCTCGTTTAAGTTCTGAACAAGAATCCACATTCTAACATTTGCAGGAAGCTTGGTGACAGCGTACTGTAGATTACATTAGATTAGATTCAGTTTTATTGTACTAAGACAACGAAAGGCAGTTAAGCATCTAACTAGAAGTGCATAAAGCAGTAAAGTGCAGGGTAATGTCCATATGTACAGGGATATATATATATATATGTATATATATATTTATATATGTGTATATATATATATATGTATATATATATATGAATATATATATATATATATATGAATATATATATATATGAATATATATATATATGAATATGAATATATATATATGAATATATGTATATATATTCATATATATATATATATGAATATGTATATGAATATGTATATATATATGAATATATATATATGAATGTATATATATATGAATATATATATATATATATATGAATATATATACATATATATTTGGTATGAACAGCATTAACAATGAATGGAGTGAGGGGAATAAACTAAGATATATACAGCTACTAAGTTATTACTAAGATATTTACAGTATGAACAGATTGACAGTAGCTTATGTCAAACATCTATATTTAAGTAAAGTACATAGGTATTATCCCCTTATAAATGCCCTTAAAGGTCCTGTGTGTAACATTTGGGATCTATTAGCAATTGGCAATATTCGTAGAAATGTTTGGTATGGTATCAGCTGAATATAGGAATCATTGTATTTTTGTTACCTTAGAATGAGCCTTATTTTCCTCTTCATGGTGGACACATTGAACACATTGAACCGCCATGGTTCTACAGTAGCACAGAACAGACAAACCAAACACTGGCTGTAGATTGGGCCTTTTGCTTTTTAGTATAATTTCTTCTACACACTTGGAGGGCTGAGCTGTCTTTATATGGTTGTAATCTGCAACTTAACCACTAGATGCCAGTAAATCCTACACACTGGTCCTTTAAAGTATAAAGTGTATAAGTACTGGTCACTGTGACATATGCATTGTTATATATGACATAATGAGATTGTTAACCCTGACACATTTTCAGTTCAGTCCTTTTTTCTCCACAGACGGTGGTTCTCGGTGACTGTATTTTCAAGTAAAAAGCCAAATCTCTGATTTTCCTTAGGTGGCTTTGAAAGTAGCATGCAACCAGGAGCCAATCACAACGCGAGACGTCCTTGACGTAAAGTGTGCCGTTCACAATGAGGAACTGCTGCAGTCAGTGGGGTTATTTGTGAAGTTTGTTGTCGTTTAAGGCTGTTGTTGACAGACAGCAGCGGTAAGTACCTTGTTCTCTTGGTATTTGGCGATATGTGGGACTTAGAGAGAAAAATATATAAACAGAAAAAAAATGAACGTATTTTCTAACCAGCTAACCAGCCTGCTAGCAGGAGCTAGCCACACAAGTCATGTAACTGTCAGGTACATTGCATTATGGGAGAGTTTGTATTGTTTACTGTGTGTCAATGTTACTTTTATTGTCTGCTGTAAGAAAATACATCTTTGAATAAGTAAAATGCTTACATATTAAAAGCACATTGATTAAACCTGGTTAACTGTATTAACCCACACTCTCTGAATGTAACACTGTCACATGATGAAGTGACCTCATCATTACAATGATATGATGAAACTATTAGAATAATAGAAACTCAGTCAGACATTAATTCAATTCAATTTTATTTGTATAGCGCCAATTCATAACAGAAGTTATCTCAGGACACTTTTCAAATAGAGCAGGTCTAGACCGAACTCTTTATAACATTATTTACAGAGACCCAACAGTACCACCATGAGCAAGACCTTGGCGACAAGGGCAAGGAAAAACTGCCTGTTAAAAGGCAGAAACCTAGGACAGATCCTTCGGCTCTAGGTGGGTGGTCGTCTGTCTCGACCAGTTGGGGTGAGAGAGAGAGAGAGAGAGAGAGAGGGAGAGAACAGAGGTAACGACAGAAGGACAGAGACAGAGACAGACAGAGGTGCACAGCAACAACTACACTAATCTTAGTGACTGATGATGACGACAACATGAACAACAATGGGGGACAATGAGCAGTGATTATAGTAATAACAGTAACTAGTAATAATAATAATAATAATAACAATAACAATAATATCAGTGATATTAGCAATGGCAGTCAAGCAGGACCATGGCAGGAGGCTCCACCAGGATCCATGAGAACCTGCGAGACGAGAAAGCACAAGAACTCCGGGGAAGAAGTGGAGTTAGTAACATGCATTAATGGGACATGAATGAGTGCAGAAAGAGAGAGAGAGGAAGAGAGGAGCTCAGTGCACCATGGGAAATCCCTCGGTAGTCTAGGCCTATAGCAGTTTATGCTCTATAAGCCTTGTTACTATACAGTATCACTAGATGGGGCTGCAACTAACTTATTTTCATTATCGAATAATCTTAGTTTCACAATTAATCATTTAGTCTAAAATGTAAAAAAAAAAGTGAAATATGCTCATCACAATTTCTCAGAGCCTAAGATGACGTCCAACCAAATGGTAAATGGACTCAAAGCGCTTAACACTACACGCCACATTCACCCATTCACACAGTGATGGCAAACAGAAACAAATTCATTCGGAACGACTTAGTATTCGGTATCTTGCTCAAGGACACCTCGACATTCAGCGAGGGAGGAGTCGGGGATCGAACCACCAACCTTCTGATTAGTGAATAACCCACTCTACCTCCTGAGACACAATCAACCAGCAGTTGAGACTCTTCAGTAAAGCATTAAATCCTTACATTTAAGAAGCTGGAAATGTTGGACATTTTTGCTTGAAAGATGACTGAAATGAATCAGTTGACTAATCGGGCCGATCCGCTGGCATTTTGAGGCAATCAGCATTGGCCGATGTCTGTGCTCACAGGGCCGATAAACAAAAAATGTGTGCAGACAGCATTGGCAGTGTGGCAGTGTGGCTGCTGTGGAACAGTGTTGGCACTCCCCTTGTTGGTTCTGAGCCCTGTACTTTAACTCTCATTCAGCCTGCTGGAAACATATGCCTATATTTCCTACACAATAGAATTTATTCATTATATATCAGCTATTGAAAAACCCATATCGGTCAACCACTAATCAAAATAGTTAATTTTATTTCAATTGACTAATAGATTGACTAATTGTTGCAGGTCTACCAGATACACACCAGACTGCTCGTAATTATTTCTATTGGTTGATTTATGTTCTCTATGTTGATCTCTTATGTTTTGTTTTGTTATTCCAAGTCCATGTCTTTCTAAAATAACAGAGCATTTTGTGATTTTGTTTCTCTCAGTGAAAATGTCAAAGCCCACCCTTTGTGTCCTTTATGGGAGCCAGACCGGTACGGCCCAGGACACGGCCCAGAGGATTGCACGGCAGGCACAGAGGAGGAAGCTGCAGGTTCAAGTGCTGCCTCTGGACTCTTACAATGTGGTGAGTGTGGTGCTGTTCAGTATAGCGATGACTGAACTCAGTTCCCTGCACTGGTGCACTTTTACCCCTTTCCCCATTTGTTGTTTAAAGGTCCAGTGTATAACACTGAGGAGGATCTATGGGCAGAAATGGAATATAATATTCATAGCTATGTTTTCATCAGTGTATAATCACCTGAATGAAGGGAATCATTGTGTTATCGTTATCTTAGAATGAGCTGTTTTTATCTACAGACGTCACACGTTGAAATGCAATGTTTTTACAGTAGCCCAGAACAGACAAACCAAACACTGGCTGTCAATAGGACCAGTAACGGTTTTCACAAGTTAACCAGCCACCCACTCTTCACAGCCTGTTCTCATTCCCTGGTTGTCAAACACAGATGCAAGCAGTGTTCAGTTAGTTGCAATCTAAAACGCCACCACTAGATGCCACTAAATCCTACACACTGGTCCTTTAAAGCCTACTTGTGTCACATGAAAGCACTGTACCCTCATGTGTGTCTCCTCTCATCAAACAGGCCAACTTGATCTCAGAGTCTCTGGTTGTTTTTGTGTGCGCCACCACTGGCCAAGGAGACCCTCCGGACAATATGAAGGTAATGAAATAAAAGGGAAAAAAACTAGTAAGAAAATATCCCTGATTGTTGAAACAACGCTGTTTTACTTGCTGGTACAGTGAGTCTTCTTAAATTAAGGAAATTAAATTTTTGGTTGTCTGAATAAAGGCTGGGTCACACCAGGAAGTGTCACCGGTTCCTTGTGGTAACAGAGTGTTGATAAACACACAAGTGCTTTTACACTTTATTTTGCACTTTTATTTTCTCTGTACTGTCCACAATAAATGCTGCAATTCTGTTTGAATGAAGTGATTAGGCCACAAAATGCTTTACCACTCCCCACTGAAGACCATAAGACGCCTGAGGATATGGAATGTTGTGTGCTTCAATATTTTTTCAATTTAAAAGATCTTCTAGTTTTGTTCAGATTTTCTTATTTTATACTAGCCCTATTAGATGAATTTACAGAAAAATATACTGAAATAAGAAAAACCCATCAATGAATAATGTCTGACTCTGTTCACGTTTGTGTTTTTTCTCCTTTCTTCAAAGAACTTCTGGAGGTTTGTCTTTAGGAAGTCTTTGCCTGTTGGCTCTCTGAGTCGGCTGGACTGTGCCATCCTGGGCCTGGGGGACTCCTCCTATCCAAAGTCAGTCCTTTACAGGTTTACGGCTCTCTCAGTGCACCTTCAGAGTGACCTGGTCTTTCTAAAAGCATCACCACTTTCACTTGCAGGTTCAATTTTGTGGCCAAGAAGCTCCATAAGCGCCTTCTGCAGCTGGGTGCCAGTGTGCTGCTGCCTGTCGGGCTGGCAGACGACCAACATGACCTGGGGTAAGAATATTTTCACATATAATAGTACATTATTGTCATATTATGCCACATTGCTTAATGTGAAACATATACACCTGGTAAGAAGTGTTGAGTTTTATCAAACATAGCTTAACAAAGAGAGAGAGAAAGACATGCAACAAATTTTCTCAAAATCTGTCTGAACCAGGTCAGACGCTGTGATCGACCCGTGGCTCACATCATTCTGGGAGAAAGTGTTTGCTCTGTACCCATCTTTGGCCGATGTGATTCCACTGAGGGATGACGAACCGTGAGTATCCTCTGGATCTGACACAGCATGTCATGTGTGGTTGCATATTGTGATTGAAAGTTTGCTAATCCCAGGTCGTTCCTTGTTGCAGGCTCCCTCCGACATACACTTTCCACTTCCTGGATGATGTGAAGGAGACGACAGACGACAGGCTGAGGATTCCCACGGAGCAAACCGTCCCCTCCCAGTCCCGTCCCTTTCCCTGCAGACTGGTGTCCAACAGGAGAGTAACAGACGTGTCACACTTTCAGGACGTGAGGCACATTGAGTTTGATATCACTGGATCCAGCATTGAGTGAGTAATGTGGAGCCCCTTTAATGCGTGCACCCTGAACTCCAGTTTATCACAAACAAAGTTAATTCTTTCTTTGTTCTTTTCAATGTAAAATGAAAGTGCTGTGCCTTCTTGGTCTTGACCCACCATTAGCTGTAGTGTTGCTGTGCAGGTTTGCTGCCGGTGACGTGGTGATGATGCGTCCCTGTAACGCGTCAGAGGACGTAGAGCAGTTCTGTCAACTGCTGAGACTAGATCCAGATGCCAGATTCACTCTCAGGCCCACAGACCACAATGCAGGTGTGTGTGTGTGTGTGTGTGTGTGTGTGTGTGTGTGTGTGTGTGTGTGTGTGTGTGCGTGTGTGTGCGTGTTGGTGCAGCTTTAAAGTAAAATTGTGAAATTACCCGTTTCTTTGTGAATGAACCTCTTACCTTCTCAGTTCCAGCCAGGCTTCCTCAGCCCTGCACTGTGCGCCACCTAATGGAGAGCTACCTGGACATCTCGGCCGTGCCTCGCCGCTCCTTCTTCGAGCTGCTGTCTACCTTCGCCACCAATGAGCTGGAGCGCGACAAGCTGGTGGAGTTCAGCTCGGCGGCGGGCCAAGACGAGCTGCTCAGCTACTGCAACCGGCCCAGACGCACCACGCTGGAGGTGACGGCTCAGGGTTAGGGGCAGCGCTGGTTTAGTCTAGAGGAACACTAATATTTCACTGTGCCTTCCAGTGGTTCCAACTTTTAGTACTTTAAGTACATTGATCCTCAGAGTACCAATAAAAGTCTGACATGTTTAGATCCCACACATAGAGGCTTTAAATATATAAACCTGTCCTTTGACCTGCTTACTGAGTGCGTTGTGTTCTTGCTGCTGCAGGTCTTGGCAGATTTCCCCCATACTACAGCTGAACTCAAAGCAGACTATCTCCTAGATCTGTTCCCTGAGATCCAGCCTCGCTCTTTCTCCATCGCCTCCTCTCTCCAGGTAGCTCATCTTTCACGACGACTGTTCAACTGCTATGAAATGAATGCAGTTCTTTGAGTAGTATAGGTAAATACAGTACAAGTCAGAGCATTCTCTCCACACAGGCTCACCCACGCAGACTTCAGATCCTGGTGGCCGTGGTTCATTACAAAACCAAGATGTATAAACCTCGAAAAGGCCTCTGCTCCAGCTGGTTGGCCTCCCTGGACCCTGCACAAGGTCTGTCGCCACATCTCACAATGGCTTATATCAGTGCAACAGGGATTACTTCATTCTGATTGGCTGGTTTGTTTCAGAAATACGTACATTACACTGAATTCACAAGACAGCAGGTAAACATGGAGGCAGACAGCATCAGTGAGATCAGAAAACATGGAGAAATCTTACTTAAATATGATCTAATATATCACAAACATGTGAAATTAGGAATAAAGGCCTGCCTCTAATATAAGCCTACATCAAATAAACACTTGATTTTCTCTGTGACTGAGGAAGATAAAGACTATTTGAGAATTTATAGAATTTAAATGTTAAATAAATACTGTAATCCTACAGTTAAAAAACAAACACACAACGTTGAGAATAAGTACATCCTGATACAAAAATATATTCCAAATATAAAACCATGCATGCTTTTATTGTGTTGTACTAAACCAGTAGGTCCACTGGTGGTTCCCAACCTGGGGGTCGCGAAAGCTTCATGGGGGCGGGGGGGTTCTTGATTTTAAGGGGTAAGAAAATTTTAAAAATATACACAGAGAAAGACTATATCTCAGCATTTGGTACACTTCTGTGAAGGAATATGAATGTAAAGTAATTAGTCTAATAGAACAGTGGCCAGGCAAGCGTCAGGGAAAAGAAAACATGATTGTTAACAAAATACATAATGCAGACAGAGAATTGTATGAAAAGTTCCCTAAACAGGAAATAATCTGCTCAAAAGTCATCCAGATCACTGGTTTTACACAAACTTCTTGCAGTTACTGTTTGGGTTCATTGTACAGTTTTCAATATAATATGGAATATCCATAAAATATATGCCACTGAGTCAGTTTATAATTATAGAAAAAGGTTGGGAACCACTGCTCTAAACGGTGTTGCAGGAGAGGTGCATGTGCCCCTGTGGGTGAAGAAGGGAACCCTGAAGTTCCCTAAAGAGAAGGACACCCCTGTGATAATGGTTGGACCCGGAACAGGAGTGGCGCCCTTCAGGTCGGCTTTACAGGAGAGGATTGCAGAGGGAAAATACGGTGAGTTCATCACCTCTCTGACTCTGTCTCTCACCTCTTCACATCAGTCCTGACCTGACACTCCTCCTCCTCCTCCTCCTCCTCCTCCTCCTCCTTCTGCAGCCAACATCCTGTTCTTCGGCTGTCGCTCCGAGTCTAAAGACTTCTACTTCAGGTCGGAGTGGGACGAGATGATGAAGGCCGGACACCTGACCCTCTTCACTGCCTTCTCACGAGACCAGGTCACACACACACTCACGCACACACTCAATAGACGTCAACCAGCATAGGAAAGAACAGAAACTCAACCTTACACACTGCATGCATAGACAAACACTTCAGCGTTCATGTCCCAAACGATGGCCCAGCCCTCGCCCACTTTCTCTGAGTTGCTCTTTTAGATTTTCCTGATCTATCTATATGTCTGTTAACTGGTTTACCATGCCACGAGCAGAATGAATATTGATGAATATAGAGTCTGCCAAAAAACCAGCAGAGGGGAATAAAAAAAGATCTTTTAAGATCTGAACCTTCACATGCTGTAGAATAAAAACGAAAACAATGATTATTGCTATTCAGAATGGGTTAATGATGTTTATTTTTCCCTCTGTAAAGTATTTTGAAATTGTCATAAATGAAAAATGTCTAATGTTAAACTGACAAACATACATATACCCAAATATATAAAAATCTATAATACTGTATATAATATATAACAATATATGTACTATGTTCTAATATGTCCAAAATATATAAAAAATCAAGGAACAAGAACATGTATTTATCATTATACAAGACTGTACAATAAATGAAGGTTTGCAGTGCCTTCATACAGACATAGAACAACAGATAATTACATTTATATTAGAATAACATAAAATATATAAAATAAGATAAAACAATATATAAAGTTTTTATATATACATATGATTGCAGAGGGTTTGACATTTTCCAGCTCACAGTAAAACCAGAACTGTGTTCAACCTTTCCTACAATACCCAGGATTCACTGAGGCCACCTGCCCCAGGCAGCGCTGTAGCTGTGGCAGTGTGTGCGTCTCCTCTGTGGATAATCTGAAGCTGAATGTGTGTGTGTGTCAGGAGGACAAGGTGTACGTGCAGCACCGTGTGAGGGAGAACGCTGGGCTCCTGTGGGACCTGATCGCCAATAAAAGTGCCTGCTTTTACATCGCTGGGTGAGTCCCACCTTCTCCTGTTTACACCCGGGGGTTCAGAACAGAGTCACAGCTGTAGTCTGGCTTAAAACAACTGTAGGTTGGCTGTGTAAACATGCTCACTGTAATCATTCCTCCTGTTCATACTGGACATTAAAGGTCCCCTCCAGACATGTATTAAGACATATATACAAATACTCTGCTTGGAACAGTATTGTGTGTCTCATATGATTTTTCTGTCTTTCATTCTGGGATGTGGGACAAAAATAAAAGCTGTGTGTGGTGCTGGCCCGTAGCTGAAGGCCTCTGTACACACACTGAGTGGCTGACTGTGTGTTATCCTGTGCAGCAATGCTAAAGAGATGCCAGACGCTGTGTGTGACGCTCTGAAAGAGGCATTCCAGAAGGAGGGGGGCGTGTCCGCAGAGGACGCCGAGCAGATGCTGGCGACCATGGAGAGGTCGGGCCAGCTCCAGAGTGAGACCTGGTCCTGATCACGTGACCTCAACCCAGGCTGGACAAGCAGGACGGTAACTTTTCCCGTCAGTCGCTTCAGCCTATTTCGGAGGAGGCATATAGTTGTTCCTGAGGTGGAGCAGGACCTCCCACAACAACTCGCAACACTTTTTAATAATATCTTATAAATTATACATTTCCTTTGGTAGAATTTGAGTACATTGTAGCTCCTTCAGTGTTCACGTTGAGCTGCTCCACTTTTGCTGCAACGCACCGTCATTCAGTGAGGCATTCCTGGTACAATGCAACATGAACCAAGTGTTTCTACTATTTTTAAAATATTTGCTGCCTTAATAACTGAGTATGTTTAACACGTGTGTAGGGCTGTTAGTCAGCCTCAGTGCTGGGCAATTGACTGAAAAACTGTTCAGTTACTTCTCTAAAAATGAATTGTAATTAGTTACTGGGGAAAGTAACTTTTGCCTTACTTTTAAATGTCTGCTTCTCTTATTCATGCTCACAGCTGTCAGATATGTTATTTTAGTGTTGCTGTGGAACAAATGTATCTAGTTATTAAACCCCCGACCACCAGAGGGCAGCAACGTCGCAAAGTAGCATCTTCTCTTAGTTAGTAGACCAGAGGATTCAGTAGAAGTAGAACCACATGGATGTAAGCATTAACTTTGCAGTAGTTAGTTCAATTACAGTAACTGAAAACCTAACTAGTTACATTACTAGTTATCACTGAAAGTAGTGGAATTAAAGTAACCCATTACTCACAGAGGCTGACCAGTGTTTGGCTCCTTATTAAAAAAAAAAAGTATTACTTATTACTTATTACTCTTTCCAAAAGTAATATTACTTTACTTATGAGTCTGCTGGCGCTCTCCTGCTGCCTCTGTATTTTGCTGAATGTGAGCGGTTCCATCGGTCAAACTAGCTTCCTGCTTGCTGATTACAAAAAAAGAATCCAAGGATGTGATTGGATTGTTGGATTTCAAATCAGTAGGGGGTGACAATATAAGTAATGCAGTTATTTCTTGGGGGTGGGGGGATGGGGTAACTGTAATATTTCTGAAATGTATTAGTAATTAGTTACATTATTAGTTACTGGGGAAGGTAATCTTATTACTACTGCCCAGCACTGACACTGACAGGCAGAACCCCCCGTCTCTGCTCGGTCCTGCTGGCTGAATGCATTCACACTGACTGCAGAGTTCTCAGTAACACAGTGAAACATAATTCCCACTGCAGCACACTGTGAGATCCACAGTGTGTTTCTAAAAGCCAGTGGGGGCAGTTGTGATTCAGCAGCAGTGTATGTGAAAGCTTTAGAGGCAGCATGTATGGAAGGCAGTGTTGGGACTGTTAGGACAATAATGAAGTGCATTAGCTGACAGCACTGGAGTGTGTGAATCCTGCTGTCAACCTGGTTCGATGATATACACACAGTATAATGGACCAGTAGATATAATTGTGATTGATTGTATAAAATATGCCGTAATAAACCATCTCAGCCTGATGGTCACTGTTCTCTTTTTCTTGTTTTAATCCTAGTTTACTGAAACTGGCCAATAATCTGATGTTGTGAAGCGGTGTCAGAGTTTACAACGCTTTGTTGTCCAATCCTTTTCAAATGTTTCATTATACCAGTATTGTGTCATTTTAGTTTATGCTGGTTATTATATTCTGTATTTATGTCATGTACATAAGTGGACAGTTACATTTGATTGGTTTGATTTTGATTCATATTGGCAGCCTTAAACCAGAGTCAAATCCTTTGAATCATTACTCTATCTGGACAAACTGAAAAATATAAACCAACAAACTTCATAATTTAAACAACACCAACGATCTGTTCTGTAAACTGATCTTCACATATTGTGATAAATGTGATACAGCAGAGGCATTTAGCATAAATCTTTAAAATTAGTAAAGACAAGGAGTCCACAGAGCCTTTAAAGAGGACAGAAATAGGCATCAAATATTATTATATGTCAAAAGAGCAACACTCCTTTTATTTGGAATGGTATCTTCTACCTGACCTCCAAATGGAAATTCATTAGCAATGGATCTGCAGAAACAGAGTGATGAATCTTAAGTGACAGCACTCACTGTAAGTACAATCTACTGTTAGTCTTTACTGCTTCCCATATTAACAGGCTGTGTTTCTTCATATGCTGTCTATTTTGAATGCGTTTCTTTAAGGTGAAACTCTACTGGTGTATCAGGCTGAATTCTGAGAAAAAGTGTAAAATGATGCAGAACATACACGAGTGCAGCCATAAAACAAATGAGCGTGCTAGAGCTCCAGTGGAGTGCTGGAACAAGCAGATGTGATGGAGAGAAAGGAGACATTGTCTCAACTTCCTCATTTTGTTTCTCTGAACTACAAAAGACACCATATCTGTGGCAGTGTGACTCTCCACTGCCTCTGTGAGGTCTTCTTATGGGATACTGTGAGAAAAGAATTCTACATGTTCTGTGTAGATTAGTGACTTGAGTGGATTGGGGCTTGTAGTCCTTAGCAGCTGTATAGCCCCACGTTATAACATTTGTAGGCTAAATATTTTACAATTAAGATGTTTTCTTGCCTCATTTTAAATTTGGATGAATGGATTCATCGGCCAGCTCTACCCTGAGGTAAACCCCACAGGTACGCACTGGGTCCATTCTTGTCTCGGAAGCATCACTTCTGACTCAAAGTAAATGCTTTTATTTAATGTCAGTGCGTTCATACACCTTTTGATTTTGTCGTTATGGCAAAACTAGTCTGACTGCATCACCCCAACCCCAAAGTCTAAAACAGTGGAAGCACTGCTATGGTTTAGAGCTGCATTTTTCATTTTCAATACCAAATAATCAGCAGATTGTTTTCTTGGTGATTAGACACTTTGCCTAAAATTACATCCTGACACTGATTTGAGCTGACAGAAACGTCCAGAATGAAAAGAGAACAGAGAGAGAAGTTCAAACCCCGGCTCCTTCCTCGCCTCCACACAGCTGACCAATCACAGTGTGAAGCGGCTGTGGGATGGTCGGTCGTTACTAGGTAAAAGAAGTTTCGCTCTGTAACGCCTCTGTACAAACATGAGTGGACTTCCTGTAGTTCCAACAGAGCCACACGTCTGCAGCGATCGCATCCCGTCAGTTTCAGGAGTCGCACTGTCCCACTTACACTTTCATCCGTATCATCTGAATAATTTAAGATGATCTACTTAAGTGAAGTAGGCTTCAGTGTTATTCCAATGTGTCAGATACATTTAATCAACATTTATGTAAATAGAAGTATCAAATCAGACTCCATATGAACAGATAGCCCGTAAAAGCAGTAAAATACAGCCACAAAGTTTCCACATTGTTTAGAAAATGACCTGCAAACATGTTTCCAATCAGCTGTAAAACATCCAAAATGTCTATGAAACAATAATGGAAATGTGTCTGTTGCTGCACATCTGGAACGCTTCCAGTAAGGTGAAGGTCACATTAGCCCTCTGGTCAGTGAAACTCCCCACGCCTTCAGCTGCATTAGTAATAAATAAGTATTGAGCCAACTGATGACAGTACGTTAGAGTGGGGCGTTAAAACAATGACTCTCCATCAGGGTTTCTATTGGCCGACACAGCCAAAGGTGAACTCTGACCTGCGATCCCGCTGGAGACCACACTGACTCAGGACACACAGGCCAGAATTTGTCCATCCTGAGTGTGAGACAGAGCAACTATTGGTAAGACAGAGGTGTAATGTGGCCTGGTAGCTCAGAAAAGTTAGCAACACACACTCACACACACAAACACACCACACTGCAGATCCCTTCCAAACAGATAATAAACGGACGGCTGACTAGAAAAATACCATTTCCACATTAGAAATACTTTGTATACAAGAGCGGCCCTTCTTCCTGTCCCACGCAGGAGGGACAGTCCTCTATCTGAGAGCCAGCATATGGACTTGGTAGATCTCCTTTGGGAAGTTCATTTGTTGCTCCTCGTAGACGATGCGGAGGCCCGCTCTGCCCACCAGACTGTGCACTATTTCCAGGTCGCGGCAGACGCTGCTGTCCACCTCGTCGGGGACCACGCCCTCGTACGACACATTGTCCTTGACCACGACGAGGCCGTTGGGCCGCAGGGCTTTCTGGCAGCGTCGCAGGAACTCCACCAGGTGGTCGTCTGTCAGGTGGCCTGAGGGGAAAAGGGGGGGGGAGCTGTTCAGTGTAGAACATGGCGGGCTTTAGGTTGTGTTCTTCATCCATGCAGAACTTCACCAGGCTGCCTTAATCCCTTCCTAAGCCCTGCCCCTTTTTGTTCTGCGCTCCAGTAACAGTTCTCCTTTCCTGTACTGAGATATGCTATGTGCTAGGCTAATCTATGTTGAAAAGACAACCACATTATCTAACTTAAGATGTAACTATATTTATATGTTTTTATCTTTTAACCATCTCAAAAATGTGGTTGTCTTTTCCACATAGATTAGCCTAGCACATAGCATATCTCAGTACAGGAAAGGAGGAAGTTGACAGGTTCTGATCGAGGCTTGCTCAACTGCTATAGGAGCATATTTTGTGATAAATCATACCAATGGGGGTAACAATTTCCTCTCCTCAAAGTATTGAATATGACATACAGCCATTGTTTATTTCTGACGGCAACCACTGAGGCACACTCACCAATGACCCACTGGATCCAGATGACATCATAGCGGCCGGTCTCTGGTACAAAGTCCTGCAGACCGTTGCAGATGTACTTCCCCACTCTCTTGCCCTCATCTCCCAGGTACGTCTTGGCTTTGTCCAGGAACTCCTGCGTCACGTCCACCAGGTCCACGGTGTTGAACAGAGGCAGAAGTAAACGTTTGGTGATCCTCCCGATGCCTGCTCCACAGTCCAGAGCACAGCTCGTGCCCGTCTTCCCCTCTCCCTCCTTTTAATGGCAAAAACAGACTATTGGATAAAAGCTGTGACACTGTAAACTGTATGTAAATCCAATGTACCTGTAATCTGAAATATTTTATACATTTTGGTTAGCAAAACATGCTACAGCTGAAAGAGCAGTTGTAGCTAAGAACAGCTGAACTCGCAGTAGAAGGCTCAACATATGGCTCAATGGGCAGACAGTGAAGGGGTAGTGTTTCCTATCCAGACCTCCACAGCTCATTGTACCACGTTTTTCACAAAAGATGTGGGACAACTTAAGTATTAAGTGTTTAGGTCTCAAGCCTGGTCCCAAGTAAAGACCAACAAGTCCTAAGTCAGGTCCCCAACTCAAGTCCAGCAAGTAGTCCCAAGTCAAAACCGAGTTTATGTTTCAAGTTATAAACAAGTTGTTATAAATCCTTCACTTTGGACTTATAACTACTTGTTTACACTAACACAAAATATCAGTTATTATAATAAATGTATTGAGTACTTCAAATAAACTCTATATACATATATAGGTGTGTCTGTGACACAATACCAAACATTTGTAATTTGAGTTGAATGTTTTGCATATTGTTAATATTTTGTTTGCAGAGTTGAGTTGAGTTGCTGCACATTAATCATGTCAGTCCAAGTCACAATGGAACTTGCTGGAGTCCCAAGTAATTGGTGTTAACAGTCAGTTCATAAGTCATCAGATTCACGACTCCAGTGAAACCGACCAGAAAGACATATACCGTATGTCTTCATGTAGACATTAGTCCCACTCAGAGTGGTAAAGCAAACGTTATCCCTGTCTGACATCTTAAAAGAGCTTCTTACACCGAGGAACTTCTGCAGGAAAGCCTTGGATCCATTGATATCAATGCTGGAGATGCTGCCGTAGCCTCCCAGCATGCCGTCCACTGTGGGGGGAACCTCCTTCCAGTAGCCCTCCGCATTAGAGTAGAAGCTTGTCTCATTTTCTGCTATGTCTCCCATCCTGTCAAGAGTCCACAGATAACACGGTTCACTCACAGGAAAAAGTACACAAACTACTATCACTACTCTCAGCTACGGTGCACAGCAGCTGTTCCAGGTTAGATTCTCTAATGAACAGTCCAAACCTGGTTGAGGTGTAGACCAGGGGAAGGGACACCTTGCTCACTTTGGATCACCATGTCCCTGATAACAGCTGTCCCATATCAATTAAAAAGGGACCTGTGGTGTCCCAGTGTTAGTTGAAGTTGATGGTGCAGGAAGACTGATGGGTGGAGGCTCCCTTTTATGGATGCTGTATTCCAGCTCAAGAGGACTGCTATCAGGATTCTGTGGGTGCCAAACTGGGGCCACGGGCAGTTCCAGTTGCAAGAGGTAATGTTTTTTACTTTTCCTTACTACTTGTACTATGTGTCTGGCCTGTTACTAAAAAATACCAATCTGCATTTAAAATGTACTGCCTGTCAGATTGCAAATGTGCTTTTCAGTATTCAGTGTTGTCTCTGTAGTTTCTAGGCTACTTGTTGTCTCCTGTGAGCTGTCATCCACCTGTTTGTCAAGCTGCATTCAACTCTGTAATTAATGGATATTCATCCATATTCATTCAGCTCTGTGGAGGTTGTAACTAAAAAGGATGAATAATCAAACTTCACACCCCAGCAATGTTTTAAGTGGACAGGGGGCTCCTATCACCTGCTCAGCATGCGAGACGAACACACACACACACACACACACACACACACACACACACACACTCCAGCAGGAGCCAAATCTGGCTACACTTGGCAGTAGTTCAGCTGTCAGCACCCATCTTGTGATCAGGGCAGAGGACATACATTTCCCTTTAGGCCCTGACCAACATCACAGAGCACAATAGGGCTGCAACAAGGATTTATTTTTTCATCTGTCAATCATTATCTGGATTAATCAATTAGTTGTGGATCCATAAAATGGTGAAAAATGTTGATCAGTATTTCCCAAAGCTCAAGTGGAAGTCCTAAAATGTCTTGTTTTGTCCACAACCCAAAGACATTCAGTTTACTGTCAATTGGAGAAGCTGAAAGCAGAGAATTTGTTTCTTTAAAAAATGACTTAAATAGGTTAATCGATTAAGAAAATAGTTGGCGATTCATTTATTTTTTGACTTCTAATCGGTTGATTGTTGCAACTGTGGAGCCAAAGCAGAATGAAAGTGGCTGAGAGTGGAGGGCACACTGTGCTCTCTTACTGACTGATTGCTATAGACAATCAACATTAATCGGTCTATATAACCCATCACACTACCCAGAGGGGCTCTTCAGTGTGTAATTACTGTGAAATAACACACGTTACACCACAGAATGTTACCATGACAATTCTATGACCACAGCAGCTACTGTGTGTGCTCTACTCACAGTGACTGACAGTTCAGTGATACATTAGCTATAGCTGCTATCAAAGCTCACACAACTGGGAGTCGACGTCATAGCCCCTCCACGTGGGAAGTTAAAGGGAACATCTGTAAACAGGGCGGAACTTTTTCACTATGCAGCATTAACTAACTTAGAAACGCTAACAGTAAAGAACAGCTAGCCTTTTCATGTTCAACACCACTGTGGTTTCCCACCACACGCTGAGTTTTAACTTGACAACGACTTCCAGTTTCCTAATGAATTCACACACAGTTAATTACAGTTAATTAGAGTTAATTAGAGTTAATTAGAGTTAATTACAGTGTAAGTGACGCTAATAAGGCCCTGCACGTGCTGAGTTAGGTGTAGTTTTAGCCAACCGGTTAGTTAGCCACCGTCGGCCTGTTTCCGGGCTATAAGAGCAACTCTGGTGGATGTAAACGTCTTAAAAGCGATTCTGTAAAAGAACACTAACCTCGTCTGAAGTCAGCGCCAGGTCCCTCCTCTACCTCTCACAGACCCGGTCCCGGTGTCACTCTTTCTATTTTCTATTTGAGTCCATCTGCACATGCACCACGTCATTTCCTTATTTGGTTCCCGTGAGGACGAGAGACAACAGCGCCCCTACTGACTGGTTTCACTCCTGTCTGCTCACTCACGGTCAGGTATATACGGGTAGTAATATATAGTACATTTGAATGAACATAATAATAGTAACCACAATAATAACATTATTACATTCTTCTTCTTATGAAGGTCCTAATTAAACTTGTTCAACTAAAAGTGCTGAATGTAATACTTAGAGTATGAGAGGTTAAGGTTTGAGTATGCACAGTGCAGTAGAGTGTCAGTGTTTTACTATTACATACATATTGCTGCATTTATGTGTATGTTGTATTTAACAGTTGTAGCTTTATATACTCATATACAAGGGATTTATTTATAGTTTGGGGGAGGGAGTGTCCCTTCACTTGTGCTGATTTAAGATCACAATTAGAACACATGCACAGGGCAATAGCAAGGATTTAAGAAATACTAAATCCCCCCTGTGACAAATTCAGTTATTTGGATGTTTTATTTATACAGTTTGATCATTTCTGTAAATATCTCTTCAAGCACCAGCAGTGTTACTCACTCAATACCACCCCCCTTCCAAGTTTGTAGAAGAAGATACGGTTAAAGGTGCTATCTAGAGCCAGTGTTTGGTTTGTCTTTTCTGGGCTACTGTAGAAACATGGCAGCCTCCATGGAAGAGGACCCGCTCTCCCTGTAGATAAAAACAGCCTATTCTAAGGTAACAAAAAGGCTAAAACTCTTATATTCAGGTGATTCTACATTATGACCTACTGACCTATGGACCTTAACATACAACACAGCAAGAATACAGCATAATACAGGCAGGGGGCTGCAGGATCTTGACAGACTCCCCTCCATACACTTGTAGTGGGTCATAAGTGATGCCTGAGAGGATTTTCTTGTATGAGTCTATACATTGTTTTCTAAAGAAAATTCTACTCAGTCTTCCTTTAATGTCACTGCTCTGATAAGTGAAAATGTGTTCTGTGAAAAAGGCCTGACTAGCAGTATGACACTATGGTCGTACTGACCAGTGGTGTAATGTTACAATGTAATCATATTTGTTACAGTATATTTTGGAAGTATCTGTACTTTAGTTGAGTTTTTATGTTTCTGTCAACTAACACTTTTACTCCACTACATGTCCTGAATGAAATGTATACTATTACTACATTACGGGATACATTTCACATTTGTTACAGTGCAATAAAGAGGAAGGACATGTTGGGGTCTAACACAGACTGCAAGCTAGCAGGTTTGGCGAATCAGTGTTGTCCTAGCATTGTGAGCAAGTTAAATCTTCATCATTAATCACGTTATTGAGAAAGTGCTTAAGTTTGGATTTCCACTCACACCCAGCCATGTGAGATACTAGCAACTACATGAGGACGCTTCCACTAGACGATGAGACAGAGCTCATGATGGAAGCAGACTGTTAGTGTTGTTGAGGTAGTGTGAAGTCTCAACTAAATACCATGGACTTCCATTGACATAGTTATTGTTTTATAAACTTAAGTTGTGAAGACATTCATTTTTCTTCAGGTGTAATAGACTCCATTTTTAGGTGCATGCTTAAAGAATAACTGTAGCAGCATTTGCTAGTACTTTTGTACATTTAATATCAGAATTTTTTATATATATATACTAACAGTATATACAGTATAAGAACAGTAAATAACTGATACTTTAAGACTTTCACTCAAGTAATATTTTAATAGGTGACTTTAACTTCCACCAAAACCATTTTCTGGTAATATATTTGTACTTCTACTCATGTGTGGCTTTCAGAGGCTTCATCCACCACCGGTACTGTCAGGAGTGAATGTGTGTAACTAATATCATTATTAAACTCCCAGGACTTTCTACACACTACTGCAGGCATCATCATAATCAAGAGGTGCAGTTGTATGATGGAGATTCTTGTAGGAGAGCTGCAGTGTAGTGAATGAACCACAGGAGGGCAGTGCAGTATAGAGTAGCGCAGTTTATCCCAATGATCCTGCCTTGGTTTGAGAAATCTTCAGAGCAGTTTACGATCAGTCTTGCTCTGCTTCATATGCTTAGTGTTTGCACTGCAAGACTGTAATCTTCTGATATCTGAACATGCGCATTCACCAAATAGTTCCGATTGATTATTCATATGTTATTAGCTTTAAGTAGTGTCAATTTATCCCAAGAGTATAGCCTCCACTGTGAAAGAAATATAATACCATCTGAAAATGAGACTTTACACATGGTAGCTATATCCAGGCCTGCAGATCAGGTTACAATTCTGGTGTGCATCAGATGATCCTACATCCATCCTGTATCCAGACACACATGGCCAACTGGAAATGTCAGGGTTGCCAAGTATAGATACAGGTTTTTCACAATAAAACAGAATAAATAGATCAATACAAGTGAGTGTATGTCATTTTATGTCACTGTACTGAATACAGTCATAATGCTTCCATCTGATGATGAAGACCATGAGATGTGGCTGAAGGCTCCAGAAGAAGCTAGGATTGTAATTATTCTGTCTAGCTGATGATGTCGTTTGTGCAGTTTTGTGTGCAGAATCAGCCACAGTGTCTTTTCTGGTTCTGCCAGTGGGGGGCAGAAAAAGTCAGAAATTTCTAGAAGTCTCGATGAGACTAGTCGCACAAATATGAGATTGTCTTTTTCAGAAAGTTGCAAAAATTGTCGCATACAGTCCATCCCGAATCCACCATCAGTGAAGGGTTTTCAGATGCTGTTTGGGGATCCAATGGGCACTGTGTTAAAGCATACTGGGGGCTGAAGGGGCTTCAGCTCAGCCTTGGATTCTAATTATGTTTCATTCAAGAGTTCATTCTGCCTGTATAAGCCCTCTTTGCAAGGCTAAAAACTCAGCAATAGACAGTAGTTTTTGTTATCTTTCATTAAGCTCTTAAGAAACCCACAGATTATCAAGGCTAAACTGTCATCTGAATGTCAGTGCGCCCCTCCACCAGTGAGGGGAGCTCTAGTGCAAACAGCCACTGCTTTAGTTAGTGATTCAGTACACTCAGTTCAGCTTGAGGATCTACTGCTGAAGATTTGTTCAGTCCTGTTCTGAACACAAAGTACGCTGCCTGTAGGAACAAACATGTGGAAACTGTTACAGGCTATATGACTACAGCCTGCTTTATAAATTAAGATGCATTGCAAGGTGCTTGTGGGCTCGTGAGAGAGAGACAAATTACATGAGAATAAGACGGATACAGATTTAAGGTATAATGTACATAAAAGCAGTAGGAAGTAAGATTCTTATTCAGATGGAAAAAGACAAGGGTTAATGTAGCTGTGTCCCAGTCTCATACTTCATGCTAATAATATGCAATGTGTATTTTATTGTGATGATCATAGTGTACTGTTTTTGCAGTCAGTACCGGCCTGTGCTCATACCCATGGCACTAAATACAGACATTGTCAGGGCCCTTTGCGTTTACATACAGATGCACAAAGTACCCTTTAGCGATGTAGTGAGCCGCTAGCTCCAGTGTAACACATTTGCGTCAGGTGACGTAGTGCGAGAAAGTCTGTGTAAGGGCACAGTTTCACATACGCAAAATCAATATTTGACGAATATTCCCCTTCCATTCGCTTCCATCCTATGTGATCGAAGCTGCAAATAAAACCTTCACTTCCAGTGGCAAAGCAGATTTTCAGATCGGTATGGAGTTCAACACTTGTGACCAGCAAAATTGCAGCTTCAACCAACAGCAAATATGTTTGTGTGGCTGACCTGAAACTGCCATGGTCACTCGCCTGCATTTGTATATACGTGGCCATATCCTAAGGAGGTGGTGGGGCTGGTCAAACACACACAAACACAGGGGTTCATGACCTGCGTGAAACCAAATGTTACGTATGTCACTTGAGTCATGTGACTTTTGCTGCAATATTTAAACCAAATCATGACATGTTTTTCTAAACCTAAATAAGTAGTTTTGTTGGCTAAACCTAACCAAACGGTGACCATTTCACAACGTTATCCCAATGTTAAAAAAGGCATCTCATACAGATGCTAAATGGTACCTGAGGGCTGTGTCTGTATTTGACAGCCTGGAATGAGAACGTATTTTCAGAACACAAGAGATCAGCTCACTTCCCTGTATTTTACTGGTAATGTAACAGAGAGAAAACAACAAGGTGTACTACTTATTTTTTTACCATCGTCCACAATTTGTTTTTGCAGCTGTTATTAGCTCCTTTGTGTTGTGGGACATTGACAGCACACTAGAAAATAAAGCGAGTTAGTATGCATGCTGTAATCTTTGAGTACGTTTTTCACTTTTCAACTATGAACACATGGTCTTGGGTAACCATAGCAACAATACTGTAGTTTCACAGTTAGCTCACTGTTGATTCTGACCTAACCATGGGTTGAATGGCAGATTCTAACCTGTTCAGATCCCTGTCCATTCCAATGGACATAACTTTCTAGGAAGATCTATGATGACTGTCATCTGACTCCGCCCAACTACACGCAGTTATTTGACTGGATGTCTTTAAGCCAATCACAGTGTTCCACATCATCTTAAGTCGACAGCAGTAGAGCCACACCCCCTTTTTCAGCAATCATGGCTGACCATGAAGCAAGGAGGAAGAGTAGGGCACATTTTAATCTATTAATTATATTGTTAAAGTACATCATTTGTGTTTAAACTGTGTTTGTTGTTGTATCACTTTTATTACTACATGTCAAAATATCAAGATTTTAGCTTTGGATGGATGGATATCACCAGAAGGGAAATAGAAATGAATAGAGAAATAATGTTTTGATTTATTCTGACTGTTCTGATTGGCTTTTCTAATGATACAGTCAGCATATTGCATCCTCTTTATTATTGATATAATCAAATAAATAAAACACAATACAATATTTTCTATTTTTTATTTTTTATTTTTTTAATAGTCCACTGTGTAGGATTTAGTGGCATCTAGTGCTGTAATTACAGATTACAAGCCCCTTGCCTCACCCTCCTCTTCCAAGTGTTTAGGAAAAACTGTGGTGGCCACGAAACACGTTAG